AAAGAGAGGGGGAGAGAGAGTATGGAAGTGGTGGGGAGGAGGCAGCTGGAGTGAGATGAAGTTTCGAGAACTTCTTGCCATTGTAATCCTTGACCCACCTTCCAGTTTGCTACCATCAGGTTTTATGTAAACCTGGGTCTTGATCCTCGGCCTCCTATGAAAGAGTCATGGTGAAGCCACCAGGATGTCTCGCCTTTGACGAAACTCAGAATAGTCAGAGGCCAGGTCTTCAAGGCCACTGTCCTGCCCCTGTGACTCTAGCCCTGGCTATGAGGATGAAAGAGATGAAGTTGGGGCTGTTTGAAAAATTGGGTGTTCCACATACTGGGTATGGCTGGGTTGCCACCTCAGGGTCCATTACTTCATGAGTGACCCCCAATCCTTCCTGCTCCTACTAATTCTCATTGTAAATTCTCATCTTCCACGTTCCTCTTATCCTTAGAATGAGTGAGCCCAGGTCTCATGTGTGGTCCTACCCTCCTTTGCTTCAGGGAATTTGTCCCAACACCCACAGAAACCTGTGATTTTTAAATCTAGTTCAACCTTGTTCTAGCTACTGAACCACTTTCCATGCTCCTGTTCCAGTTACTAGTTAGAGAAGAAAACAAAACAAAATAAAACATTGTCTTCCTTTTCTACAGAATTTTAAAGCAACTATGAGCAACACTCAAGCTGAGGAGTCCATAGTGGGCATGATTGACCTGTTTCACAAATACACGGGACGTGATGATGCGATCGACAAGCCAAGCCTGTTGAAGATGATGAAGGAGAATTTCCCCAACTTCCTCAGTGCCTGTGTGAGTTGGGGGCCTGCTGCTCAGTCTTGATGGGGTCCCAGTGTGGCTGAGGATCCATTTTTCTCTGTGACCTTGGACAAGTCACTCTAGTTCTCTGAATCTGGATTTTCTCATCTATACGAAGAGCTGATGTACAAGAATATTTATATATGAGCAAGAGTTGTTTGCATGGTTATTGGAGTTATAAAGAGTCATTAGATGTTATCATCAGGTGGTCACTAAAGTATGCAACTTAAAGCAGTAACAGGAATGACATCCTGGCAGATGTCATTCATGCTATCTCCATGTGGCTGAGCCTCATCTCTGGGCCTGTTTCTCGAAGGCTCTGCCTCAACATTTCTATTAATGGTATGGCACCAGAAATTGCATTGCCAATATTAACTATCAACCCTCTTTGACAAAGAGAGTAGCACACTGGAATGTAAACACTGTGGGGAACTTGGGTTTCAGAGTCTCGGTGACTAAGGACAGGGACCCCAGAATGATAAGTTTGGTTAGAACAAAGAATAAAGGAGAGGAAGATTGGAGATGAGGAAAACAGGTATTAGGATTTAGATAGTGTCCCTTGGGTAGTAGACCTAGGGTAGGCGGCACCCTTAAAGGCTGAGGACAGTGGGGCTGGGGCTGGAGATTCCCTCATCACCCAGCTCATTTATCACAGCTCCAGTGGGAAGTTCTTGCTTCCCTCCCTCAGGTCTATCACTGACTTTGTTCCTTGTGCCAACAAATCTCGCTAAAAAACCCCCCAAAAGTAAGACCACTATCCCCACCAGTCATACCTCCAGAGCCCAAGCGCTTGGCTCTCTGTCTTGGCCCCTCATGTTTTTTTCTAAGTCCTGGACTTGTTTGTGACTGAATTTTTGTATTTGTGTCTTTCTTTCCTCACAGGAGCATAAGGGCACAGATTACTTGGCCAATGTGTTTGAGAAAAAGGACAAAAATAAGGATAAGAAGATTGAGTTTTCTGAGTTTCTCTCCATGATGGGGGACATAGCCACAGACTACCATGAACAGAGCCACGGAGCACCTGCCTGCTCTGGGGAAAATCACTGAGCTCAGCCCATCCCTGCCCAGGAGCCTCTACAGGCCCCCAGAAACAATAAAGTGTCTCCTCCCAGATATTTGCCTATTTCCTTGTTCTCTTTGGTTTCTTATTTGGTCAAAATTTTCCATTCTGATTATGTGATGAAGAGTCTGTCCTCAGCTAGATTCACTCAGGAATGTGCTCTAGCGTCCTCCTATGGCTCCCAGCAGAGCTGAGGACCTTGTGTTCAGATCTGCCTCTGTTCTCTCCATGCTGCCCACAGTGAGGGCTCCGGGATTGAGATTGGTACAAGCCTCTGCCAAATCAAGGTGATGCTTTTCTTTGTCAAGGCATGGACCAGGGTTATTCTAATTCTGCACTGAGAAGGAATCAATGTCTCCTTCTGTTTCATACCCATTTTTTTCTTTTTGTTTTTTCACTAAAGAAATTAATCTAAATACTTTCAATAGCAAGTGCAGTTGTTATATACATACCTATGAATACATGTCTGACCTTGGGCATAAATCTTAGTGAGTAGAATGAACATATTATAAAGTAGCATTATCTGGGGTTATATAGCTTACTGTCGTCATTAAACAGGTATTTTTAAGTACATTTTTTAATTTCAAGAAAATGAACTTTAGTTTTAATAGATCAAATTAAAAAATATTAAGAGAAAATTGCTTAAGGTTAAAGCCAGGGAAAAGGTTAGAATTCAGTTCAAACAGTAGGTAGATAAAACTGTCAAAAGCTAAAGAGAAGACAAAAATCCTTAAACCTGGAAAACAAAGCATAGAAGAAAAACAGTAATGTTTTAGTCAAAAGTTGTAAAATTCTATTTCACTAGTTCAGTCTCATGTAATTAGTCTCTTCTGTTGAATTTGCAGTGTTACTGTGTTCCATCTTTCTGTTTAAATTCTGGAAGTTAACATTCAACTCTGGACTTGTTCTTACCATTAAGTTGGCCATTTTCTTGGTTATTTTTTGTACTCTTATTTCTGTGTATCTGTCTTTAGTTTTCCTGGTGTAGCACTCCCTTCAGCACTTCTTGGAGAGGTGGTCTGGTGTTGGTAAATTCTTTCAAGTTTTATTTATCTGACAATGTTTTTATCTTCTCTTTCCATATGAAGGTTAATTTTGCCGGGTATAGTATTCTTGGTTGAAATTGTTTTTCACTTAACACTGAATATATTTTCCTATTCTTTCCTTGTTTCTATTGTTTCTGATGAGAGGGCTGATGTTAGCCTGATGGGATATCCTTTGAAAGTAACTTGACATATCTCTCTTGCCAATTTTAGTATTTCATCTCTGTCTATGGTTTCAGCCAGTCTGGCTATGATGTGTCTTGGAGAGGATCTCCTTGGGTTGATTCTATGTGGGGTCCTTTGTATTTCTTGGGTGAGGATATTTGAATGCCTCTATCAGTTTGGAAAGTTTTCTTCCAGGATTTCATGAAATAGATTATTAATGCCCTTATTAGTTTCTTTACCTTCTGGGACACCAATTATCTGGATGTTTTGGTGTTTAATGGTATCTAGTATTTCTGATATATTATTCTCATTTTTTTGGTTATTTTCTCAGTCTTTTTGGTGAATTTTATTTAGGTCAGAGGTTTTGTCTTCTACATCTGAGATCTGATCTTCTGCATGATCTAATCTGCTTTTAATACTTTCAAGGGAGATTTTGACTTCCTATATTACAGCCTTTATCTCTAACAGTTCTGTCTGATTCTCTTTTATGGTGTGTATTTCTTCTTTCAAATCATGCAAGAACCTCCTCAACTCCTGGAACTCATTGTCTCTTTTCTCTTGCATTTTCTGAGTTTGTTGTCTCTTTTCTTTTGCATCTCTGTTAGTTTTGTCATTATGAATATTCTGAATTCTTTATTTGACATTTCCATGAGTTCCATTGTGCTGTCTGTGGATGATGGGGAGTTATTCTTTTCCCTTGGGCAAAAGATATTTTCTTGGTTTCTCATATTTCTTGTGCCTCGGTGGTGGTTTCTGGTCATCTGATGGATTATATGTTTCTTCCTACTTTCTTGGAGTTAAATCTGAGTGTTTAGAGGCATGCAGGAGGAGGTGATTTACAATATTACCATCTTTCAACATAAAGCAGATCTTGTTCTGTCCCTTTTGTGCTCACAGATGGAGACTGAACAACTGAGTGCAGGTCTCATCTCCAAATGGCTGAGCAAAGCAGAGGTCTCAAAAGACTCTCCTGTTGTAATAAAATGGGAGGATGGGCCTGCTTTGGTTCCGGGTCTTGAGTCTGATATCCTTCTCGGTCCTTAAACAGCTCATCCCTAACACATGCTAAGTCCTAATCTGGGACTTTCTAGTTTTCATCCCAGCCAAAGGGTAATGATTCAGGGGACTCTTAGGTCACTGGCTTATATCCTTGGTCACCTGAGCAGAAATAAAATAAAAAAAGAAATGAAGGAGAAAAAAAAAGAAAAATGTGTGGTATTTCAGGTAGATTAACGGAAATCATGGTCACCGTTATATCAAAGAATACCATACAATAACAAAATTAATACTATAAAATAGATAAGGTTTATACATTTAGTACTGAGAAAAGGGAGGCAGATACAAAAGAATATGTAGAGGTTTCTGTTTTATTTATTTATTTTTTTCATTTTAAACAAGAAGTTTATTTAAACAACAAGACACTTGACTAGGCTTCCTTTTTTTTTTTTTTTTTTGGAGAGGTTTTTGCTATAGGGC